TTGGAATCCCATTACTGTGTTTCTCAAGCCTGGTCGCTGAAAACAAGAAAGGAAGGAAGGAAGGAAGGAAGGAGACAGAGATAGACAGCAGTGAATGGACTCAGCATCAGTCTCCGAGGATTTAAAAAACAAAACAGAAACATTACGTGAATTTCTGTCTTCAGTGGAACATTGACTTTGGGGGTCTAAAACTCATGTTCTTAGTTTTGGGTTAATAAGCCAGAAAACCATCTATTGTCTGCTTTGCTGGGAAGCACAGAAGCTAGTCACCGAGCAAATGAACAGTTGGGAGAATGAAGGATTTAATTAACATCATGCCGCTTGTTCCTTAAATTATTCTTGGCTTCAAATCAAAGGACAGCAGTCTCCAGTGGGTCCAGCCATGTTTGTACTCCCAGTGGTCCCCCGCTCTGATTTAAAATTCAAGAACTATTCTATTTCTGTCCCTCTTTCATTTATGGGTTACCAGTTGATTTGATTAAAAGCATTTGTGTCTTACTCTCTGTGCCTCAAGCTAGAAGAAGAACTGGGAAGGTCAGAGAATAAGCTACCCTTATTCTGGGTCAAAATTGATTGTTCCCAAGTTTCCGAAAGTTTTCTTTCCTTAGCAAATGAGGAATCTGTTTTTCCATCTCGTTCTCGGGCTGATTGAGAAGGTCATGGAACAATGCCTTTGGAGCCTACTTTAGGACTACATGTTGATGGAAGGAGCTTGCTCTACTGCACGGTTTTGGAGTCTTCCCGGCTGCCCTTATTTTTCAGTCTGGAAGAAAAAAAACCAAGAAAACACTTCCTTCTGGAAGCAAAGAGGCTGCTGGTGAATGGATTGTACAGCAACATGACATTCACAAACATATTGTCTACCGCAGCCTATTGAAAAAGGGCTCATCAAGGGCAATGTATTTGCCTCCAGTTGAATGAGAATGTTTGTTTTAATCAGACCACATTTTCGGCACAGTTTTAATTGGAACATTGGCCTAGTAGCCATTGAGAGATACAAACTTTCTAGATGAGGATATGGATAGGCTATAGCAGGTTTCAAGCAATACATTAATTTCCAGCCTGGAACCAATCTGGTCTTATTTACTGGATTACAGCATGATCTTAAAAATACGAGTTTCCACATAAGTTTAAAAGCTGGGGGGAAATTCTAGGCATATAAATGAAAATCAAGAAGGCGGGGGGAGGGAGGGAAAATAAAGGATTGGGTGAATGAAAGAGATCAACAGGTTTTGGGTGGAAATAAAAGCTACCGCTGGTGAGACAGGGAGAATGTTCTGCACTTGGGGCGCTATTGAAATGAAAAGCAGTATCTGCAATTGAAAGGGAGAAAATCTGAACTACCTGGACCATTCAGTCCAGCTAATAAGATCTTACAAAAGGGGGCTGCTGAGGACCTCATAATGTTGAGCAAAATAGAGGGTTGATTTGTTTTTCCCTTCTTTTATGACATTGCCCTAAGTTGGTTGACCGAGGAAGCTGAAAAAGTATTTTTGAATGTTGTTGTGGAGTCCTTGGTGCTCTTTGAGCTTGGTTGTTTATAAACAGTAGCTTGCCCTGCCAGTGCTGGTGGGCGTATAAACAGGGAGCCAACCCCACACTCACTAGCACCGATGACATCTCTGAGTTGGGTCATGAAATGTCCACAAGTCAACAACCAAGCTCAGAGAGCACCAAGGCCTCCACAGTTCAACCCCGAGCTACAGAGATTCTCTTCTCTTTTAACTTTGTTGTTGACAGTCTTGAAATCATGATCTTTCTTTTCCTTTTCCCTCCTCCCCTACCTCTTTTCTACAGCTGCATCTGTGCCAATGCCTTCTTATCCAAGCTCAGGCTCAGGGAGCTCCTCCAGCAGTTCTTCCACCTCCCACTTGGCATCACCTCCTGTGAGTATATTAGATAGGTCCCTCCCCCACAAATCGTTTCTGGGTGTTTTAGGGCTTAAAGTGTGCTGGACTCACCCAGGTCGCTGTTTTCAGTGGCATTTTGATGGCGGCAATGCATAAGAAATTAAGGTCAAGGTGAGGGCTCCCAAACCATCCCCCAGCTTTCATGCCTAAGGCGGGATTAGAACTCACCATCTCCTGGTTTCTAGCCTGGAGCCTTAACCACTAGACCAAACCGGCTCCAGTTTTGTAGATTTAAATTTAGAACTTTGAGTTGTTTTGGGGTGGGCGGGATTATACCTTGACTCTCAGTCCTGACGTTTGTCTTGAAATTAGATGCTCGGAGAAGTTCTTTTTCTTTCTTTGTCCCCGTGTTGTCTTCTGGGACAAATGGGGGTCATGACTATGGCAACTGCTTTGAGAGCCCGCGCCATGCACACATGACATTTCTAACGCACGCGGGGTATATTAGAAGCTGGGGACTCTGTGGCAGAATGTTATGGGAATGCCTTGGACAATTAGCCAAGCATCTGGAAAAACGACGAAGGCTTCCTTTCCAAAGCTGTGTTTTCAATCTGTGTCTTTTCTCTTCCCTCGACAAGTCCCTTGGCGAGATGCCCCACCTCCAGGAGAAGACTTCAGCCTCTCCCCCACAAGGCTCCCCTGCTTTCATGCGCAGGTCAAAGGAGTCAGCAGGAAGCAGCAGCAAAAATTCATCATGTGACACCGATGACTTTGTCATGGTGCCAGCCCAGTTTACAAGTAAGCTGAGTTTTATTCCAAAGCCAGCGAGAGCTTGGATGGGGTGCTGGGGGCAGAGAGATTTTGTACTTTGGAACATCAGAGGAGGAAAGCCCTTCTTTCTGCCAGCAGAAATTAAGTCTTGGGAAAAGAAAAAGGAGTGAATGGACCACCTTGACATTTCAAGATAAAAGTTTGTGGATGAGCAAGCTTGGGCAAATGACTTCTGTTCCCTGTTGGGTGAATGGAATAGTTGTAAATGTCCATGTTTAAGAGACACATGTCTTGCACCGTTCTTCTGCCCAGCTAGGCACGTATGTATGGGGCAATGCCTGCCTTGCACAAAACTTGGTTTTGCAAAATTAAGCTCCACCCTACATCAGAGGCACCATGCTGTCTTCTGCCCAGCCCCTCAACGTCAGACTATTAGATGTCACTGGAGTGTTCCTCAACCAGGACACCTCCAGATGGTTCATCTTCCATCAGCCCAGACAGTGTGATTGAAGATGTACCAGGAGTGATGGAAGTTGTGGTTGAAAATATGTGGAGGAACCAAGTTTGTGAAGGAGGTGTGGTCTTCTGACTTTCTCATTCTGGTCCATATCTACAGACCTAGGAGAAAAATTGTATTTTAACCCATAGTGTCGGGCACTTGTAACCCAAATCTTCAGAAATTTCTGACCAAGAGGTTATAATTTTCTTCCTGCAAGACCTGACTCTGGCAGCGACTAAAAAGTTTGCCAAGTTTCTAGCTCTGGCTTGCAGAAGTTGCGGGCACCCTCTATTCATTGTCAGTTGTTTCAAGTTTCTATATTTTAAACATCATACCTCTATTGTATTGGTCCGGGACCATAAATAAATAAAGCATTGTAACTATACTGTTAGCTTCTTCAGCTCAAATTCAGCAGAAGCTACTCAGATCCTGAGCACAGCACAGTTAGAGAGAAATCTTGATTATACGCTAGGATAAAACACTGTAAGAGGTTGATTGCTGCGAACATAAAGCAAAAATCCTTTTCCCCAGGGCAACTTAATTCCTGTGGTTTTTTTTTTCTTTTTCCTTATTTTTCCCACGGTTTGATGGATATTTAGCCTTCTGTTTCTCAGCCTTGGAGCTTAGTGACTTCTTAGCTGTTCACAGAAGCCTTCCTTCTGCCCTGAAAAACTTTGACTCCAGCCTAACTCCCTTATGTATGTATTTGTGGATATGAAATACATATTTTTTTAAACACCCCCCCCTTTTTTTTTTCCTTTTGATTTTAGGTGATATAGCTGTGGAGGCTACTGGAGGAAAACCGATCCAGGACAGTCTGATGGGGAGTGGGTAAGGAGGAAAAATAAAAGCCTTCTAGTTTTGTTTTCAGTGTTTTTCATCGGAATGAGCAAAGGGTTAAGTGGGTCTTGGCGCGGGTGTCTGCATTCAGCTTCATCCAACACAACCTGGAACAGTTTTGCAAGTGAATAAATAAATACCTGAATTATTGCCCTTAAAATAAACAACTAAAAGAGGATTTCAACATTTCATAGAGATATAAGTAGTATGAATTTGTACTTCAACCCTGAAATGTGAGCTCAGACCATTGATGTTTCTTCTGACTTCTGTGTAGTCTATGATCCATAGAGTGAGACCATCCTATTTTAACGTCTGTCTTCCCAACCAAGTATTCTCCAGATTCATTGGGACTTACAACTCCTAGAAGCCCGCAGCTATTTATGGAGTTGGTTGGTAACCATCATCTCTCTGGTGTAAATGCATTAGTGATTCATATTTTTTTTCTGTCCTTGCCTTTTGTAGGAGCTCCCTGGTGACTTCTGCAGACTTGGAAAGCCATGGAAGGACTCTGTCTCCTTCCCCTCCATACAGCAGTTCTCCTAGCCCATCTGGGTAAGACAAAATCTGAGTAGGAGAGATGATATTCCTTACCTTCCCAATGAAAATGAGAAGGGCAATGCCCTGGTTTGGGCATCCCATTACGTTAGCGCTGGACATCGCATCCAGATGGCCTTTCCCAGATCTCGGTCTCATTTGTGGCCAGAGAAATTGGAAGGAGAAGTTCAGTGAAGTTGTCTAGGAGAAATAGTCATTCTGTAGCTATTTCTCAAGGACAGGACCTTCTCTTGGTCTGGCTGGAGCATCCTTCTGGGAAAGGCACCTGGAGTAAGATGTTCCCCACTGGAGTCATTCCTGGGGAGGTGGTGGAAGAGTGAGAGGTTGCAGATGGTTGGAAGATGGATTGTCCAGGACGTTCTCAGCCCTCCCCTTGCCCCCTTATCCTCTAAGTAAGCACCAGATCCTGCAAATCTACCCAAGACAATTTCTTCAATATATTCTTCCCCTTGGAAAAACATTTCAAATTCTCTTTCATCAATTTGAGTGACCTGGAGGATGGATTTAAAGCTAGGTCTCCTCAGGTCTTCTCCAGCATCTTAACAACTACACCACTAGAAGAGGATATCTGTAGCTCAGCGTTGAACTGTGAAGTCCTTGGTACTTTCTGAGCTTGGTTGATTGCTTGCAGTGATGATAACCAGCACTGATGATGTTACCTAGTTGGGTAATGAAACGTCTGCAAGCAAACAACCAAGCTCAGAGAGCACCAAGGACTCACAACTGGCCAAACACATCACATTATGGCTTAATTTGATGCATGAAGCCAGCCCTAAAGTATGGGTTTAGGACTTAGTCCAATGGGTGAACTGGGCTGCTAGGATTTGTTCAACAAACCGTGGTTAAATCAAACCACAGCTTAAGATGATGGATCGCTCTGCACATCTTTTCTCCCTAATCCTCCCCACACCTAGGATGTTCAGTCATTCCTGGTTTTGTCCTAACAAATCCTCGTGTGTCTCCTGCATCCTCACAGGCGATCAAGCCAATTTTCATCCAGCACGAGATACGGACAATCAGTGCCCATCCCAGTTCCTACCCAGATCCAAAACTACCGCCGGATTGAGCAGAATCTTCAATCCCCTAATCAATATACTTTGCCACGGTGAGTATCAGGTGATGGGGGGTTGAATCTTAGCAACCTGGTGCTGATGTTCTCTTGTATGATTCACTCAGCTACAGGATTGTCAAAAGAAGCTTATAAGGCTTACATGGACCAACCTAACCATGGTGTGTGTGCTATCTTTTGCAAGCCCAGAACTCAACCTCTTGGGTTTAATTCAGTCCACCAAAGGTGTAGAACTTTTTGTGGGATGTAGCAGCACACCAGGGCCAAGTCCAAGTTTGTGGGCAGTGCCAGGATGAGAACTTCAGTTTGGTTTCTTTTCACTTTGAGTTTTGTACTGAACTTCGGGTGCAATTAATGTTAAATCCAATGAACGTGATGCTTTGCCAGGCGTGACTTTGATTAGTTTCCCCATTTTGTCACATTGAAAATGGCAAGTTGGTAATAACTTAGGGAATGTACCTCCAAATTTGAGTTGGGGGACACTCAGGCTGGATTCTTCTACAGTTTGCAAGCCAAACAATCTATAGCTTCACATTCTGGGTGAATCCATCTGTTTGCACAAGAGAAAACTGTTCTCAATTGCATGTACATTTCTGTTTTGCATCATCTTAAACGAGGTCATCCCTTCTGGGCATGTGTTAGGGATCCTTGAAGTGTTTAATTTTCCGGGCAGAATTTTTATTTGAACTTACTCATCTGCCTAGTCAGATGTTTCAGCCGTTTCTCTGAGGTGTCCCTACAGTAATTATACAGAACATGACAGAGCCATGCTTCTGGCATGCAATTTTGGACTCAGGAACCAGTCAGGTTGCCTGGATGTATGGCTTAGAGCCCTGTGATGCATTCCGTCCATCCTGTGTAGGTGGCACCTTTTTGTTAAATCTTGCCAAGAAGGAGCCTGCTGATGGTACCAGCTACTTTGGCTGGGAAGGAAAGATGGATGAGAAGAATCACATCTCTGAGTACTTCTGGGTTCTCTTTCGCAAAGGATCTGTGTATCTGGCAAAGGGTGGAAACAGGTTGGATTTTGACAAGCTTCTCTGCTTCAGAAACTAGGGAACTAGCTACAATTTGGTTTCTTCTTCCTGGCAGATCTTGAGAGATGTATCTATCCGCAGGTGACTTCCACACTCTTTAAATCTGATGGAGACATGGCTTGAACTGTAATGCAATCATGCTTTCATGATGATGATGATGATGATGATGATGATGATGATGATGATGATGGTTGGTCACACAGTTAGCCAAATGTTTAGACTAGATTTGGCATTTTTATCCACCTACTGAGTCCTTCCCAAGGACCTGGGATAGGCAGATGTTGCTGTTGGATGGTGTTCAAGGTATCGTCGCAGGATGGAAGCTGTTCCAAGTCAAGCTGCCTTTTGCAATGGACTGATGGTGTTTTTATTATTGTTGGTTGCACAGTCAGCCAGATGTTTAGGCTGGATTGGGCATTTTTATCATTTTTCTCATTATTGTTGTTGTTGTTATATCTGCATTGTTAATCTAGACTTCTTGAAAAAGCTAAAGCTTGCCATTTTGGTAAGCTGACTCTTGACCTGATGGAGATATTATTCAAAAGGGATATCAAGATTTTCCCCGCCACTCTTGGTAAACACAGCAGTGTTTGATTTTTATGTCTGAATCAGTGTCTTTCACTAAACTGTATCCTGGATTAGTGTGTTCTGAGACCCCAGCCAGTGTGGTTTACAAACTTTGATGTAAGCAGGAACTCCTTCATAGATAGGAATCACATTTAACATTGTCTGGACAAAGTGAGTAGACTCACAATGTTTTGGCTGAAGAGTGAAAATCTTGGTTGTCGGGGTGAGTTTGTGGGATTTTAAAAAAAAATTATGCCTGTTTTAAGACTTATTGTATGTTTTTTGTGTGTGTTTCTGTTCCCAAAGGCAGGCTTCAGTGAGCTTTGGTTGATGTAGCTAACCTTCCTTATACAAATCATGATTTAACATGATGCACAAAACAGATGCATATGACAAAGACAGAGGGTGATGGGACTCTATTCCCTAAATGACATCCAGAAGATGTAGGGTCCAGATGGAGATTTAAGTCAGCATTTCTTTGTCTCTGCTCTTTCTTGGATCCTGAATGTCCATGCACAAGGTGGGATGGGGACAACCTGTTGATTCTCCTCCTCCTGCTATGCACATCCTAGAATGAACAAATTCTCCTTTCTATTAGGTCTAGTACTGTCAAAAGATCCAGCAGCACGAGTCCACTAGGCTTCCTGAAAGCCAGCCCATCCCCTCCATTTTCTGCTGGCGAGCATGGAGCAGTGCCATCCCCTAGAAGGTTTTCCTTTGGTGGTGCCAAGCCTTACACACCTTCCCCGCAAGGTAGGCTATCCAGCTAGTCTGGAGGTGGGCAGTCTTTCATGGTCAGCAGCTTTGTTGAACATTTGAAGGGCTGGGCAAAGACCATCATAGGCGGGGCAGGGATACAATCAATGGGATGGACCTAAGCAGCTGGTTTGCTGGATTTTCATAGCTTATTTTTTGTAGGAGTTTGTTGTTGTTGCTTGGGTACATCAGTTGCCTGCATGTCCCACCAACAAAGGGAAGACACAAATCAGGGTCTCTGGGTGGAGGTGATTCTGTGCCTACAAGAAGCATTTCATGAGCTGCAGGTTCAGATTGCCCATCTGTGAGTCAATCCATTCTGCCTTCAAGAGAGAATGATCAATGATCAACCTGAAAATTTGCATTTCTTTTCTCCGCTTCGTTTCCATCTGCAATCCCACATGGAATGCTCTTTTGACCTATGACCCTAATCACTTCCAAAAGTGAAAGCCTTATTCAGTTCAAATTAACCTGGCCTTCCTTGTGGGTGGGAAGGGAACTACCAATGGCCAGTGGTGTGACTCTGCTGTTGCCTTCTTCATCTTGGTGTCCTTCTTGATTCCTGTGTGAACTTTGCAATGATCTGATCCAAGTGAGAGGTGTTTTATGCAACTTTGATCTAAGGAAATATCATCTCCCTCTGAGCATGTGATTTCTCATGCTGGTATTCCTTTTCCTTTTCCTGAAGTTGGAACAATTCCAGAGCAGCCAGACCAGATGGTCATGCCTTGTCCTCTTGGAGCAGAGTTGAGAACTCGAGTGCCCCTATCAGGTACATTTGATGCTTTCGAAAGTTCTCAATCACTGCAATTCTCTGGGCACTGTTAAATAGTAGGCAGGGAGGTAGGTAGATGATAGATAGATGGATGGATGGATGGATGGATGGATGGATGGATGGATGGATGGATGGATGAGAGGGAGAGAGAGAGAGAGAGAGAGAGAGA